GATTAAAACTGTTTGGAGAAAATCATTCTGACACTGCTCTAAGTTATGACAATATTGGAAACACACAACATGAGATGAAAGATTACAAGTCAGCGTTGCAGTCACATCAACATGCTCTTCAAATCAGAATAAAAGTGTTTGGAGAAGACCATTCTGACACTGCTCTAAGTTATTACAACGTTGGAGTCACACAACATGAGATGAAATATTACAAGTCAGCATTAGAGTCTAAACAAAAAGCTCTTCAAATCAGATTAAAACTGCTTGGAGAAAATCATTCTGACACTGCTCTAAGTTATGACAATATTGGAAACACACAACATGAGATGAAAGATTACAAGTCAGCGTTGGAGTCACATCAACATGCTCTTCAAATCAGATTAAAACTGTTTGGAGAAGACCATTCTGACACTGCTAGAAGTTATCACAGCATTGGAATCACACAGCATGAGATGAAAGATTACAAGTCGGCATTAGAGTCCAAACAAAAAAGCTCTTCAAATCCGATTAAAACTGTTTGGAGAAAATTATTCTGACACTGCTCTAAGTTATTACAACGTTGGAGTCACACAACATGAGATGAAATATTACAAGTCAGCATTAGAGTCTAAACAAAAAAGCTCTTCAAATCAGATTAAAACTGTTTGGAAAAGACCATTCTGACACTACTCTAAGTTATTACTGCATTGGCGGGACACAACATAAGATGAAAGATTACAAGTCAGTATTAGAGTCCAAACAAAAAGCTCTTCAAATCACTACAGCTTTATCAACTCATCATAAATGGTAATCTTAATTACAACGCCCTCCAACATGTGGAAAATATTCTAACTCAGACACGAAGAGACGATGTTCTATATCCTAAATTGGCTTATAATACAAGCCTGCTGTATAAAATGGAAAGAATTAAACATTATTTTCTCACTCTATCAGCGGCACGAAAATTATCGTATCCTCCGTAGTAGGAAAATAGACCCCAGTTTCAATGCAAACTAAACAGTCTAAACCTCCATTCCAGTTTGGTCAAGGAAAACTGATATTATTACAGAGTTGAATCTGCAACAGCTTCAGGCCTTCATCACTGAAATCAATAAATGCGACGAGGGAATTTCAAATGCAATACAATTCCATGACATTCCAGATCATGAGATTGTCGATGCCTTGATGCCGTTACAAAGATGCCATCTTAGTGGACAAAAGTGTGTCCTTTGTCTTTTGAACTTTGTTTAGCCATCCACCACAAGGACCGATGGCAAATTCATGTAAACTTCTGGGTTGGGGTTTGTATTAAAAGGTCCAAACTATGTCAAAATTGCTGTTTTTTACAACAGCCTGGATACAGTATATCTTGAAAAAGTGAACTGGGAAAGGCTAAGGATTATTATCAACTGGCACTGCATGATAATTGGAATAGAATAATTATGCATAGCAACTTGGCAGCCGTTTACCACTTCACCAAGTTACCATGAATGGCTATTGTATGGCCACCTTCATTAATGGCCACATTGATGAAAAGGTGGAAAACAGTCTCAAGATTAAAGGCACGAATACGATGTTCTATAAATTTTACACGAAACAATAGCGGGTAAAATAGGGAAAACGGATTGTTGAAACAATCAAACTGTGTAGACTTGCCATCCTCCCCGGATATTTTCTCGTAATTTTTTACGAGCAAGTTGTGTACGGTTCGAAAATGACATTTAAATAAACCTTAACGACAGGCTAGACTGTCAAGTCTCTTTAGTGTGCATGGGCACTGGAAATTGACGAAAAACATGCAATTGATAAGGCAAAACTATGCTGATGTTACTGTCTTACAACAAGCAAGGCGCGGTGTATCATGATAAAGGTGAACTGGGCTAAGAGTTGTTTACCAATTACCAAGTTGCTCGTGAAATTCGCCAAGAACTCGTGTTAAAAACGCATTTAAAACCTAGGACTTCCAATTATTGAAATCACCCAAATTACAATTGTGAGAAACCAGTACAAACAAGGCATGATTATTTGGAATATCCGCCTACCTTCGTGATTCCCAATATAGGACATAGAAAATCATTATTTAGGCCAGCTGAGGAAATTTATCAAATATTCGAATGTGCTTAAAATGATTGAATCAAGTTATTAGTAATTAATTATAAATCAAGTTATTAGTTTCAAAAATAAGACGTTTTCATTTAGATCGAATAGAATGACAACATTGAGACATGTACTGGCATCGGCTCTTCCCTTGCAAGCTAAATACTTCAACCAACTGTACATTTCATGACTTCGTGAAACCTGTAGTTAAAACAGTATTTCTCATGCAGTGATGAATATTTTCCGGAAAAAGGATGTACCCAGAAATCTCAAAATTCCTAAAATAATTCCTGTCTTAACTTGGTGATGTAGACATATTTAAAACCGACATACCCATTTCAATTTTGTCACTGACGATATACCCATTTCAATTTTGTCATTGACGACATACCCATTTCAAGTCCTATACTGATAATTTCTTGATAGAATTTGCAAACAAACTCATTGAAAGATTGCAATTTGGTTTTCATTCCAGTCGTGGCAATACTGCGTCTAACGTTCACAATATTGTGTTCATTTCTCTTTCATGCCCCGAGAGACATCCCTTTCACTGTTATTTACTTCAAATCATTCCTAAAATCATTTCTTCTATTTTGTTATTCATAATACATTGACTTCTTACCTAATCTTTCCTTTACGTAATTGAAAATAGTGGCAGATAATAAAAATTCCAATTATACAAACAACATTTTATGGTAATTAGATATATCCAAAACTTTGGCTGGTTATAGGAAACCTCGGTTAGCTGATGGAACAACCCCCAAAATACTACAATACATCTTTCTCTGCCATTGCAATGCAATTGTTGATAAAATATTGTACCAAATCATTTCGTTATTCGTATCATTGATAAAAATACCATCTAAGTGCGAATGCATAAACGGCGGGTATAGTCTCGAGTTTAGTTTCTCGTATGGGTCACTACCTTGGGTAGTCCGTCGTTCTTTCTGTGGGCGTGCTTATTTCCAGTGTTGCAATTCAGAGGTGTAGGGGAATGGGGACTCATGACAGAAATAATTTTCGATATTGGAACACATTTTTGCGAATTTAGTAATTGCCAATTTAATAATCAATTTGGCATTATTGAAATACAGGTCAGAAATCATGGCCAATTCATTTAGAAGATCAGATCAGTAATACTAATTTCCCGTATGTTCGGGATGGCATTCTGACCATAATGAACCCTGCAGTGATTGTATTTTTTGTCTTACAAAAATATACATTTTATAACATAGAATGCTGGAAACGTGTTTCAGAGACCCAATTAATAATAAAATATCTCCTGACGATCCATGCCCCTTTGGACTGCACCACTGTTGCAATAACTGGAATAAACCGATTGATAAGAATAAGGGAATGATTTTAAGGAATATTTTATAGACACTTTAAATGTGACGACAGTAAGAAGGCTGTAAGAATTAAACAGATTAAATGAACTATCTTTACAACACATAACTCAATTGCTTTATTGCAACAAAGTGACGTAATATTCGAAATCCGACTATGAGAACTGGACTAGATTTCAAGTTCGCGCAAATCTATAGTCCAGTCCAAATTGGAGGATTTGAAATGACATCTCGTCATCTCATAAGAATAAACCACTACTTATTAGTTAAAGTGAGGTGAATTCATTTTGATCCAGTCCGATAGGACCGAATTTCACTTCTTACCCTGGAAGATGAAAAAATGTACAAAGGCAAAGAATGATCTGAAATGTGCAAATACGAAACTCTTATAACTTTATAAGTTCTATTCCTGAGCTATCCAGATGAAGTATCCTAAACCAGCCATAGACAATAAGTAATGCATGAATATCTAGATATACAGTATACACTAGATTTAGAAATTCTTTTATTCTTGCATCTGTGCATCTATTTAATATGTAGATTATGTAGTTAGTTCATCCAATGTAATTCAGCTATTGCTGCAATATTTGTTTTTAATACATTATTATATTATTATTATTATTTTCAATACACTCTTTCGATAATTACGTCACAACTGGAGCCTCGTTTTCGTGTTAATGCTTATTTCCACGACCTGGAGCCTCGTTTTCGTGTTAAAGCTTATTTCCACATTTATTGGTCAAAATAAAGAATTCTTTTCAATGCATGTGTTGAAGAAGGATGTTCTGCTTCTCTGTGCATAGCCCATGAGAAAAAAACTTGAAATCCTTTCCATTTAAGGTGGTCCTAAGTTGAAAACAGTGTAGTTGCGACGTAATTTTCGAAAGAGTGTATTTTGCCTATATTCTATAACTATATATAAAGTTGTGGATCGTAATTTGTTAAAATGACAAACTCCCATGATAAAATATTTTCGGTATTTTCCGTTTCAGATGTTGAGAATATTATCTTAAAATTCTAGGCATCCCATCCGAAAAGGCAAAATGTTAAAGGTTATTTGTACTTTAAATTTCCTAAGCAGTACGTGAAAAGCTACAACAATTAATCAGTTTTATACCAACAGCACATTAACACTTTCAACTTTGGGAAATACTGAATTATAGCATCATGGGAGATATTATCACGAAAATATCATGCGAAATATTTAACGATGGATTTACGAATAATTTTTAAACGTAGTTTTATCATGTAGTACAATATAGTACATAATTCATAAATACAATTATTGTTTTCGCAGTGTATCGAATGATTTTTTCATGACTTTTTATCTTGGTTATGTTGAATTGCATATGGAAGGTTGGTGGAAGATTGATTTTGTTGTGCTAACAATATAACAGTTGACATGCTAACACTAACTGCATGTAACAACTGCTAAACAAAGTTTTATTACGCCTGTATTCTAATTTTTTTTGTGTTCGCCTCGGACAATTTGCGCAATCTATTAACAGCTAACAGTTTGACCTCAAAATGTGATTTAAAAATAAAGACTAAAGTTTGCGGTTACTCGTCTGCCATAAACGTCAATCTTAACACTGAACAAGTAGCCTGTGTACAACAGATGTTACACTGAATATGCCATGTCTTCGACATGCAGAAACCCTTGATAAAGAAATTAAAGAATACAGGTAATATGAAGGTAATATGACCTTTTACTTTTTCAAAGGTAGGCCGGTTTGTGGAAAAGGGGCGTATTTCTGATTGGCTGTTCAATCAATGGCGGGAAATTCATGCTCTACTTGCGCATGAGCAGTAGAGACTTAGTCAAACAGTGAATTCAAGATGGCTGACTCAGAGATGTTATTTTCAATAGTTTTGGTGATTATAACGTTTTTCTTATACGGTTTAAAATGGGCAGTTTTAATATCTATAACTATTTTTCTTTGCGCTCTTTTTCTTTCACTTTCAAATTCTCGTGGAAATGGAAATGCAGTTAAAAACAAGCCCAATGAGAGTGGAGAATATTGTGATTATTTAGACAATGATTCATATCATACTGAAAGTCCCACTGCTAGAAATATGGAGTCAAGAGGGTATGGAACGAGGCTTGTGAAAAATATAGTCCGAAGAAATCCAACTTTGACACAGAATGTACCGTTTAATGATTTACAAATGTACAAAATGCGACAACAAAGACACATCTCAAGTTTAAGATCACCAGAGCCACTTTTGTCCCAGGTTACACGACATCTATCTTTCAAGTAAGCTTAATACTACCCAAATATGAACAATTTATTAGGTTTATTTATTTAATGCTATGTTTCATGTTGTATGCTGAAAATATACAGGTTATCCTGGAATAGTGTGGCATGCCTCGGAAAAATATATTTCTAAAGACCATAAGGGGCTGTCGACAAATAGATTTTGTCCACCGATCGCGGACTTGTTCCCCAATTATTCCTCTATTTGTTGACAGCCTTTAAATGTATAATAATACATTTCAATAAAAATTATGAAACATAAGTGACTAAGGTTCTGGCATCCAACACAATAGTCTAACTGTGGAAAGTGTTTTATGTTTGTGACAATAACATGCATCACGGTATGTCCCTTCCATTGCCAGCTCATAAATACTAGGCTTTGCTTTTAAAAGACTCTGCCGATTCAGAATCCAATGCAAAGAATTGCAATTAAGGAATGTGATTCCTTGCACCTGGCCCACCCTTTCCTTCTTGAGATGGCCTGCAAATAATAATTTCTCAATTTACTTTCAGCAATATATCTTACTATCACCCAGACAGAACAAAACTTAACCTATCACCCAACAACAAGTCAATGCCTCAGAAACACTACAATCCATCAGACACCACGCTACCACAACCACCTTTACTGGATAAAACATCTAGTTTCATTGAAGAAAGATACAGTCCAAGACAGTTCAGTATTATAAGTCCTTCAAGAAATATCCCTCACAATATATCAACTGTGAAGATAAGCTCTCCTGGTGATAACGATTCTCGCTTTGCACTGTGAGTTTAATATTTATATACAGAACTATTAATATCAGACAATTTTACTTTTATGAAGTTGGGTCCTTTGCCGAAAATGCTGTAGCATGTACAGTAAGAGTATAATGTTTATATAATGTTGCAATTTGTCATGTACAATACATATTCTGGAGTATGTAATTGCATAAGCACTCATAAAATGGTTTTGCCTTTCAAATTTCACCATAATTAACTAAATGAGGATTTGTGATGTCAGCAGTAATTTTCATACACTAGAATATGAATCATACGCAACAAATTGTAGCATGTAAACATAGTGCTAATAAACTTATTATAGAATTCTATTACATAAATATTTTAGAAGATATGGTAAATTTCTTGATTTATTTTTACTTCATCATGTGATTTAGTGAATCAATCCTTCACAAAAGATTAGAAAGGACAAAAGACAATCCATGCAGCAGGCAATCTGTTTTGTCTGCCCTTGGTCAGAAAAGCAGGTGAATATTAAGTGACTTTTAATACTCAGTTGTTGTAGTTATTGCCATTGTTTATCAAATGTCATTACATTTGTAGAAAACGATCAGCATATGACTCTGATAGCTCTATGGTGGAATCGTATTCTGTAAAGAAAAGGTCAGCTAGTTTGGTTTTTGGAACATTGTGGTATCTTATGGTCATGAGTATCATTACTGTTACTATCTCCAGTGCCCTCATCATTACCATCATCACCAACTCCACCATCATCACCACTATAACTGCTTCCATTATAAATTATCACCATCATCAACAATATTGCTGACATTATCACCACCATCGTTATCACCAGTACTTAGAACTACTCCCATTATCATCAACATTACATTCATTATCACCAGGATTATAATCACTAACTATAACTACTTTCAGTGCCATCACCACTTTTACCATCATAACCACCATCATCATCAGTAACATTACATTTATCACCACCATCACTATCATCATCAGTAACTGTATGTTAATACATTCATCACCATCATCATCATCATGACCACCATTATCAGCAACATTACATTCATCATCACCACTACAAGTTGCCATTAGAAAATCACCATTATCTTCACAAATACTCCACATTTCTATCTTCAGACGACGTGATGACCTTGATGATTTTCTGGATGCAGTAAACAATCCACTATCATCCCCATACACTGGTGTAAAATCAACAAAAAGACCATATTCTTACTCTGCGAAGCCCGCTTTAGAAATTACTACAAAAAGAAGTAAAGAGAATGAAACAGGCCCTGACAGTGAATCAAGTCCACCTTTGTAAGTACAAATGATTTTATATATCATTGTATTTTTCTTGAATTTATGTAAGATTTTATATTTAGGAGGAATTTTACCAGCAGTGCATTTGAAGATAGTGGTGTAGATGTCAACTCTCCAACTAAAATTTTGCAAGAGAATGTTTTGACCCAAGGTACAGTTCTGTATTTTGACTATATTGTATTCAGGGTTCTCCATAGTTGTGAGTGGGACAGGTAAAACAGGTTTTTCAACAGGTATAAGCATCAAGTCGCACCTATACAAACCTCTAGGGGGTCTGGGGTATACCAACGGAAAATTTTGAAATCTGAAATGGCATTTCCTGCAT